ATAGAATCTATAATCCTACGCTGATACTGAGGAATGTCTATGCTCATAGCCTTAGCCCCACTGTACACGACAGAAGGTATGCACGCATTATCAAACAAAAACTCTACAAGAAAGTACGAGTCGTACCCCTTTGCGTTGTGAGCTATGGCTACTGAATTATCGGTTTCGGGGGATTGGAATAACCATTCACAAAACTCTTTCTGAGTGTTATCTCCCTTAAATACCTTACGTGATGGACAAATACTACAGTAAAAATCATCAGGTTGTCCCGCACATATTTCACAAGTCGTTTCCGCTACACATAAATTCGGTACGTGAGTGCCGCCATCTTGGGTACATTCAAAGTCAAAAAATATGTATTTCAACACTTTGTTCTGTTTTTGCTTTTTCTTACCGCTGGGTTCCATCGATTCTTTATCATTATCGTCAACATCTAAGTGATCCAAGACAAAGAAATCATCCATAACTTCGTTTGTCTGAAATGTCTGCGCGCGTCCATTTTTGGCACCGTTTACAACTTTTATAAAACACTGATGATTAAATGGAACCATTTCATGACAGGTTGCACAGTATTTCTTTAAACATTGGTGTTTACCACGCTTGGCCGTGATGGCGGCACTCACGTACGCGTCACACGATTTACATCTGTAAAATGACTGACATACAGTTGTTTTACCTACGAGTCTTGTCTTGTGGTTATTGAAACAGACTTGATCCTTAAAATTACGGTTACAATCGGAACAGTGGACCCATGTGTTTATCTCACCGGTTTTACAACCCAAGGAATAGCACAGCTTACAGGAAATGTTACATACATGACTGGATACTGTACCGTTATACCCTTTAAGGCATTGATCGCAGAAATTGCTTCGGTTTAAGAACCCCGACATAGACCGTATGACATCGTAATGCCCTCTTGCAAGATGAAGATATATCGTGCGCGGTTTTTCTGGACCCTTAAAAACGGCCGCGTAACAATGTTCCCTCGATAAAACAATGAGCCTATAATTTTCTAATACGTCTTGAAACCGCTGAAGCTCTTCAATGCCCCCTAATCTCCCTTCTTCGATTCCTGCCTTGTTGTGCATGTCTGTAACCAGATGATCTACATACTGAGCTCTATTTTTGAGTATATATGTTAACTCTAGTCCCTCTTTTTCTTGAAGAGCCTGGCCGAACACAATAGCACGGGCCAGACACGTATTGGTGCCATCATCCCGTATTTTCACAATACTTCTTTTACTAGCCAAAAGTTCCTCGAGTTTCATAAGTCTAACCTGTCTGTTATTTTTTCCCCCTTTGTTAAATCTCATATGTACAAAATGTATAGATATGGTTTCATCGAATCGAATGAATTGGTAACTGTTCAAAACCTGTTGTATCCTCTCAAACAATCGCTCGGCCGTCAGCTGATCCATTCGCATGAACGGGAGAGAAATTGGAAAATTTAAAACCGGTGAGTTAAATACCATGCGCACCCTGTCATCTTCCTCAACACCATCCCCTAGACGCTGAATAATACTATTAAATATTCCGTCCAAAAGAGGCATAGCCTCTTCGAGACTTGCGTCTTCTAAATGACGGAACTGTACTACATAATCATAAGTATGGGCTTGAAATTTTTTTCTTTTTTTTTCTTTTACACTCACAATTTTGTAGAATTCTTCGGGTTGTCTGCTTGTGCTGATCTTGCGCTGTGGTTCCTCGATGTGTTCAATATCCCCGTCCAGATCTGCATCGGTAAAAGCACCGCCTACCATACTGTCTGTTTGCGAAGCTGAATCCCCACTGTCCGTGCGTGATCTTTTCTTGTTGTTGACTGGTGCAGAGATTCCACTGGTCCCAGGTTGTTCTCCGATACTAACACGCGATTGGACGTTATCACAAATTTGGGTTGTAGATAGCATCTGGGCCAAAATATTGTCTTTAATTTGTTCATTGTTTTGAGGTAATTCGGAAACGCCTTCCTCACTGCGTCCTTGTTGGGTCCAACTCCCGAGTCGCTCGTCCCAGAGAATGGCGTTGTCCTCCGGTGAACATTGAAGATCTACCTGGTCCCATGTCGACAGTTCTTCAAAAAGGTCGTCAGCGGCATCGTTGAGGGTTGGCGGTAAAGCTGCAACGTCTTCCTCGTTGGGTTCTCGTTGCGTCCAACTCCCGAGTCGCTCGTCCCAGAGAATGGCGTTGTCCTCCGGTGAACATTGAAGATCTACCTGGTCCCATGCCGACAGTTCTTCAAAAAGGTCGTCAGCGGCATCGTTGAGGGTTGGCGGTAAAGCTGCAACGTCTTCCTCGTTGGGTTCTCGTTGCGTCCAACTCCCTAGTCGCTCGTCCCAGTAGATGCCGTTGTCCGCTGTACCGTCTTGGTTCCCTACCTCTTCGTTACCCACCTCAACTAGATGAGCGCAGGGTTGTTCCCTATCCAAGAGAAGCTCGGCGAAATCATCATCATCCTCGGCTTCGGTGTTTTCTTGCATATCGAAAGTTTGTGCGATTTGCAGATTGCGTAAACGTTGTTTAATTGCAAATCTTGCCGCGTCAGATAACACGAAATAGTCGAGATAGCCGTTGCATTCCTCCATAGAAAGCGCGTTAATTTCTTCTACGTTGGAAAACATTTTGTAGCAGTAAATTGATAGCTCTAATGAACTGTACACTGCAGAGATAAGACTGGAAATGAAAGACGGGGTAACTAAGATGTTCTCCTGAGGTAATGATTGCTACCGACGCGAATAGAATCAACGGTAATTGGTTACCAGTTTCACGAGACAAAGGAGACCGGGGCCAGAAAGTTTTATCGGACAAAAGGGGGGTGGGGGGACCTACCCCCGTAGATGGAATAATGGATAGGGGGATGGGTCTAAAAAAATTATTGGACAAAAGGGGGGACCTACCCCCATTAGATGGAATAATGGATAGTAAATGGGTCTAAACATGTATTGGACAAAGGGGGGGCCTACCCCATTAGATGGAATAATGGATAGGGGGGTACTTAGAAAGTCTTTTAGGACGAAAGAGGTGTTAGTTAAAGAGTTAATGAGGGTTAAACGACTTTTGGGATAACAGGTGCCTAATCTTCTGAAATGCACGGCTTAACCAGGTGCAAGATGAATAGGCTTGAACAGGACTGACTAGCACCAAAGTGCTATACAGAAAACTCGGGGCTAAAGTGAGATTCTTCATATCGTCCTCTATGTCCTAAGGGCTTGTGTGCGAGTGTGTTTTTTGTTTTCTGCTTTTTTCAGTTTTTTTAAAATAATGTCGTCTGATTTGGTTTAGGTAAATGATCTGCCTGAATAATCTTAATATAAGAAATCACCTGTAGTAAGTTTTAAGGTATGTAATCAAATTATTCTGAGATTTTTAAACGATTTTTTGGTTATCGAATAGTTTATTGAATGAAACAAACGTGTACATCATCGTTGACTGTTGTATAAATCGTACCACTAAAGTCAGTCTACATCCCGACCATCATTACCTTTACGCTTCCATAAAAAAAAAACAAATCTCTTTTCTTTTTTGATAAATTTTGTTCTCTTTTTGATACTGGTAAAGTACAGCATCCGAGAATCATTCGACGGTCTGTTTTTGGCGGGCTGTACCAATGAACACTGTTTTTTCACACCTCTGGATCCACCACACGCCTATAAAAAACCCCCCAGAAACAGTTTGGAGGTCATCATCGCCGATGGGCTCATCATCAATCGTCATTATGGAGTTTGATCATATCTTAACTATCATTGAAGAATTCACCTTGGGGAACGCTGATCATCTTCTTGATGAACTCCGATGGTGCTGGATTCAAGAAGTCCGTCATATAAAACCCGTAGAACTCCTTGAAAAGCATCGGTACAAGTTCAACCAGACAGCGTATAAACTCAAGAAAGAAGGACGAATCGATCATAGACGTTGCATCTCCGTGTCAACCGCAATGCACTATGCGAGGGCTTTACCGGTGCGGATGCCTTGGTTGCGACAACACTGTCAATACTTAATGCATCTCACAACGATGGAGGGGCTAGCGGCGGATGCTGTTCGGGGTATTTTGGCCGCGAACATGTCCATGTCGGACTACTTGAAGTTCCGTCGAAGTGAAGTTGTCCACCCGTCTGTGGCAGCCCTAGAGCTACCTCAGACGGTCAAGGAGTATATTCAGTTCTACTGAATTAAACAAAACCAACCGGCCCTTTTCAGGGCCACACATTTTCAAAAAAGAGATTGAAATCTGTGTCTGATTAATCTGTGTTTTCTTTCTTTCTTTCTTTCTGTCTTTCTTTTGGAAGGGGGGAAGGGTAATGGTTTACTGCAGCAAAAAATTGTAAGCGTTATGATCAATACCGCAAAATCGACAGGCATTTAATAATCGTTCAATCGTGGCATTTTTATATTCGCGTCGTTTCCACTCTATAAGTGCGTTAAAACATTGCCCCCATTCACAAAATTTGTTTTCCTCTAAATGTCTATACATAGCGGCTCTTGATAGACCGAGATTCATCATTAACTTCTCCCAAGGTCGCTCGCACTCTCCATTCTGACCAGAGTAAAACAATTTTTTAACAAGATTTCCAGCTAGTCGGCTTAATTGGCGCTCTGTTGGTGTGGCCTGCATTTTGTTTTTATTATTTACTGTTTGCACACTGCTTTGAATGAATACAAATGATAGTCTTGGTCATTTCAAACGTTTGACATTCATAATCCGGCTCAAGTCTCCCTTTGTCCACTATTCCGGTTCAGGTCTTTCCTCTGTCCGCTATTCCATCTAGCCGGGTGGGCTGCCCCCTTTGTCCAATACATTTTTTAGACCCATCCTTTGTCCGGTAAAACTTACACACGCCCATGCGCTCTTTTATTATGCTAACATCATCCATCGATATGCTAATTGGTTTCATTGATATGCTAATGAGTCCATTGTCTTTGTGCATTATGCATAAAATTCTTTTGTCTTGTCCGATGAAGACCCTACTCACTACTCTCGAACCGACCCAGTGACTCGTACGTGCTCATCTCCAGTCGAATTCCGTACTTTGTTTTGAGACGATCGAACATATAAGCCTAAGAAAGAAGTTGTCGTACAGGAAGGCGTTTAGGCCATATGCGAAGACGTTCAGGCAGCGCTGCAAGACGCTCATATCGTCCGTGAACTTCGTCAGAGCTCCAGGTATGTAGGCCGGATTGCTGGGAATGCCCGCCAGCCGGCTGTGTGCCATCGGCATGATGATGCCGTTCATGACGTTCACGTAGCGGAGGTTTAACTTCTGCGCGATCAGGATGAAGCAAGGGTACAAGATGTCGCCGACGACGATGTCGAATTTTGCAGATCGGAGCCGCTCCATCATGTCATTATCAGAGAGGGCAGAGTCGCACTCACCGGCAAAGAACTCACTGATGCCGAAGGATTTGGCGGTGTTCAGCATCCGACCGGTACCTCCAGCTTTGAGCGCGCCGGACATTCACAGTTTGAGCGTTTTCCAGGTCGAGCTCGGCTCGCCCCTCATAGAAGCGCCAAAAGTGACCAGGCCCTCGCGCATTTGGCTCCGGCTGACTGTTGATGGGTGCACCTCGAAATCAAAGAGTTCGGCCAGGCTGCTGTTGGCACGGTAGACGAAGGCATCGCTGATGACAAAAGTGACCTTGTGCCCCCTCTTTACCAGGGTCTCAGCAATGATGCTGCCCATGTAGAAATGACTCCCTGGCCCACCCAGCCCTGAAATGAATAGGATCTTGTAGGCTTGCGTTGAGGCAGGCAAACAGACTACCGGAACGAAGACCTACACCATCCGACGGAAAAGCACCCTAATCTCCATGGTCATCACACCTCAGCAAAGATTCATGCAACGACCAACGTATTTCTGGTAAACGTGTTGGGTAGGATTGCAGCTGAAGTAGCTGAAGTGGCTCCTTTCCTCAAAACACTGCAATTCCTTACTGAGACCGTCAGTCGTCTCAAGTCATATCTTTATTCGTTCAGTGAGCCCACACCTACAGTCTCAGCTCCGATTTCATGTGGGTATAGGTGTGTTTATGCCGCAATTTGTATATGCATTATTCTGTTCTAAGTAGGATTTGAGGCTTTGCATGGTGGAGATACTAAATAATGAAAGGTTTGCGGAAACACCATGTGCGAATAATTTCTCAACTAAGAGAATGGTTCTGAAAAGAACCAGAGGTATAAACTCGACGTTCCGGTCAGTATGCTCTGACCGTCTTCACTCTCCTGAAGACGGTCAGAGCATACTGACCGGGACGTCGAGTTAATACCTCTGGTTCTTTTCAGAACCATTCTGTTAGTTGAGAAATTATTCGCACATGGTGTTTCCGCAAACCTTTCATTATTTATTCTGAATCCAACACTTACATAGGTCAGTGACCACTCTTTGAAAGTGTTGAACCCAGCATTTTAAATATTGAACCCAGCATAAATAAATGTTAAACCCAACGCTTTTAACATTTTAGATGTTGCTTCAACACTTTCAAAGTAAACACTTTGAACAATGTTGAATTAACACTGAAATTGTTGAATTAACAGTATAAGTATTGGACTTAACATTTAAAACGCTGGATTCAACATTTAAACCGCTGGATTCAACACTTTCAAAGTGTGGTCACTATCCGAACCAATCATAGGCCTAGCCAGCGGGGGGGGGGGGGGGGGGGGGGGGGCAAAAGGGAGGGCTTACCCCCCCCCCCCCAAATATGTTGTAAGAGTGCCCTTTTTTTACGAAGTGCCTTTTTCCTGAACAAGTGTCCTTTTCAAAAAAGAAGTGATGCCCTTTTTTGTGGCATCTGCCGTTTTGGGTGCCTTTTTAAGAATTTGGCACATGTATCGCCCTGAAAAGCATCATATATTAGCCTTTTGTGTGCATAATTGTTGGTTTTGAACAGCGCCCAGATGGTACCAGCCCCCCCCCCCATATCAATCCGTCACTTAAATCGCGGGTCAATGAATGGTAATCGGAGAACGTAAATCAGGATCAGTGGTAATGCCTTTCCCAAGGGCATTAAAAATTGCCTGCCCCAATCACTACAGAAACTATCATAATTATCTGCCTTATGAATACAAACAAATTGTAACCCCTTTAATTAATACACTTAGGCCCTCATATTTCAATCCCTTTGCCATACAATTATGCATAAACTCAATTGATCAATCAGAAATCACGATTCCCAATATGCAAAGTGAGGGCGACTCAGTGTTCCATAGTATTTAAACATATTACAGCTGGGGTTCAATATCAAACATACACGGTTCGTGTTCTGTCAATGTCAATATCAATATTGCACTGGATGCTGGACAAAAACGACCTAATCGGATGATAACACCGTACACGTACACTACTGCCGCGCTAGTTGATATCGGCGGCGCGCAAACGGCCGAAAAGCATTACTGTCTGACTACTTGAAATCAGCCAGCCCCATGTATGAGCCCTCTATATCATTATCAGCCCACAATCTGCAATACCAAAAAACAAATTAAAAAATGAGAACCGATTTCAAACATACTCATAAAGCAATTTCCATTCATGAAATATGTCTCAAATATCTGTTTAATATTTCTTTTATTTATTTATATCTTTACTACCGCCCCTTGAACAAAGATGTTGACTAATTGGGGAACCCCCAACATAGGGGTGGATAGCTCAGTTGGTAGAGCACCGGAACGGTTATCCTGAGGTCGCAGGTTCAAACCCCGCTACAGTCAATTTCTTTGTTCAACTTTTCAATTCTTTTATTTAAATGAACAGTGTAAACCAGAAAATGCTGATTAAACATGCTCTATTTGCTATACATTATGTTTGTAGTCTTACATTGCATTTTGATGCCTGTCTTTGAGACAATATTTTTTTTCTTCAGAAATGAATACGTGACTAATTCCTACCTGCGTACTCCATTCAGATTCTTAGACGTGATTCGTCATTTGATGTTAAACAATTTCCATTAATACCTTAAAAAAGACCCATAGCAATCGTTCACCCAAAAAATGACCAGACGTTTTTTTTTTAAAAACCAACAATTTTCTAGTTTGTATAATAATGACTGCACAGTTTCTTAAATCTGCGTTCTTGTATGATTGATCTGAATCATTCTACATTATTCTTGTAGAGATGCTTTCCCAATGTATTCCTCCTCGTCCCCAGGACTGACTTTATTTTCAACCTCGTTTTCAATAGTAAGCCCTGGTCTTGAAACTTACTTCCTGTATCCTGATTCGATACCGCAATTAGAAAGTAATGGATTTATTTCGTGTACTTGGTATTGTTATATATTACGTGTTTTTCTCGTTCATCGTAATTATCTATACGTCCACTCCCTTCTCAAAAATAATCATCCCCTTTCCAAATTGCTTGTTATTAATATTTAATGTAATACTGCATATTGGCTGGATGAGATTCAGATCTCACGCCTCAACGAATTGATTCTGTTTTTACCCCAGATACCGTTTACAAAACAAACGCCGATTTCAAGTACAGCCAGTCGCCAAACTATTCCTAATTTGCATAAGTATCCCAACCTTTTGGATACGCGAATTATCCAATACCAGGGTGAGAGAGCAGGTAGTAGTGAGAGCGTACTCACTCTGGTATTGGTTCATTTATTAGTCCAAAAGTTTGGGATTCATGAGCCTCATAATGCAAATTAGGAATAGTCTGGTTTCTGGCTAAGCTTTAAATCAGCGTGTGTGACACCATGGGAACGCCGGTTGCAAGGCCGAGTGTGAAAAGAGATTTAAGGCACGGGGCGGGAGGGGTAAGTTCCTTTCTCTCTACAACTTCGCTTCCTGGAGCTTGGTGATGCCGAGCTGGAAGAGTGGCTTGAAGCTGGGATCATGCAGGGCGGGCCGGCCCAGATTAAAGGCCGAGATGTCGTACTCGGTTCGTCCGTCGATGGAGAGCTCGCTCAGGACCCGACCAAGCACACTGGCGAACCTGAAATGTGATAACATATCGTATACAGCCTTAAACAAGTAGGACCTATAAGGCATCAGCAACGACGAAACTGATATATACCGTGAAAAAAAAGCCCATTTGTGCCCCACCTATCTTTGTATAGCGAGGGTGTTTATCTGTATAATCATTGATTTGAAAATGTTATGCAATGATGGGCCTGACGTCAAATTTTGTATCATGTGAGCTTTCTTATGGGAGCCAGGTGGAGGCGAGAGCCACCAAGCCCCTTAATGTACATGTAAACAAATTAAATGTGACGTCAGTATTCTTGCTCATGTTTTGTCTGATATGGAATCTCTCTTACACAAAGTCGGTATAATCGTACTTGGTTCAATGTGGTTCTGTAATCGGGCAAAACTGGGGGGAGGGCGTCACGACCAGAAAATCTGGCATTTGTTAAGTCAATACAATCAGCAATCTTGCGTTCAAATTGTCTTTATCTGTAGTTATTAATTTTGTACATGTATTACATGTATAGGCCTATGTTAATGGTGGGACCAGCATTTTGGTAATAACATTAACAAAGCATGCGCAGAGATATCGATTTATCGTACCACACCAACCTACTTGGTAACTGACAGTTAACTCACACAGACTAGAAATATATACATGTACCAGCCAAAAAAATATGACGTGTGTGAAACATAATGGGAGAATAGAACTGAATGATAGGGCAGAGTACCCGCATTTTCTGCGGAGTAGATATGCAAATCACTCCATAGTGTCACGGTCTACCAGCATAAATGTGTTCCAATGCTTCCCAACCTCCGGTCCATAAACCAATAAATAAAAGAAACGTATTAATATCTATGCAAATATCGTCAAGCTATTTTGGGATATCATTCAGGGCAGACTGCTTCATTCAAGAGGTTCTTGATTGTTGAACGATATTTTTTTATGAAATGTAGGCCTATTTCGTAAGTTCATACAATAACACTGCCCTAATTTCTGTGTCCGATGCCCGTAAAAATGTGTCGGTTCTTTCAGACTAACTCTCCGGAAAATCAACAGAGTAATGACGTCATAAGTAAAGCTCGTTGTTCCAAAGACTGATTACTGTTACATGATATTCACGCAGCATGTACAAAGCCAAAAAACCCCAAAAAACACTCAACCAGATTTGCCCTGTGTTGCACATTAATCGAACCCCAGCGACGACCGTTAGACAAAATGAAAACATGCAGGTCCATAAGCCATTTGCGTGTTACATTTGAATAATGTCTGGAACGCCGACTTAATTCAATGCTTTGCACGTGTTAACTTTACATTCTCCCGACCAAAGAGACCGTTACTTGTATCATGCGATTCGGGGCAAGCTTAACTAGCAACCCCCAGCTCCGGCATGGTCTGGTGTCTTTGTGCCATTCTCACCCATTGTGAACGATGTATTGGTGCTGAGCGTCTTTTACGTATTATTATGCAAGAGCTTGCCCCGAATCATGAGATTAGCAACATAAGTGTCTTTGGTCTGGAGAATTCACAATTAAAATGTGCCAAGCATTCTGAGCAAGTCAGTGTACCAGACGTTTTTCAAATCTAAATCCCAAAGGGTATAGGTCACTCGCAAATGGCTTATTCGGGACGTGAACAGACAGCTCTCAAAAGTATAACACGAAAACTTAAACTGTTAGTTTTAATAAAGTATGCAAGTCTCGCAGTCCACGTTCACTTTTTTTTATGTGAACGTCTTGGTACCAAACACTGACTAGTCTAGTCACAGACTCCCGTGTTTGAATTTACCCAATTGTTATCTGCGTGATCGATGGAACGCCGGAAGTTGAAGTCAACATTGTTAATTTGATAATCATGAGTCACCAGCAACAAATTAATATTTGCATTATTTTTGAACGTGTTGTAAATTGTAATGTTTTTCTTTCTTTCGAAATTCCCATCGCCTTTGATTGGATGGGCACAGCCAGAACACAACAATAAATGCACAAAAATAGGACATCACACACGTTGTAGGTCCTATTAAACATGGTGCCCGGATGTGCTGGATTCTCGTAAAATCTGAGAATCCCGGTTCGTAAGTCTTTCTGCATGCAGTCACCAATCACTCTAAATCATTAATCAACATGACACGTAAAATCTTCATGAATAATCATATTCATGACTCCCTCCAATCAGCATCAGTCTGTACTCACTTGAAGGCGTGTCCAGCTCCACAGCACACGATAGCGTCCGGGTGATTGGTTCGATGGCACGTGTCAATCACAAAGTGGCGGTCCGGTGGCATGGTGTACAGACAGGTTTTCGCGTAGAGAATCGGGCCCAAAGACTGAGGAAATAAGGGGCACAAAGCAGCCTGCCGTTATTATTTAAACATGAAGCATATTTGGTAACCTATTTGACGCCAAAAAAACTAGCAAAATCCGCCAAAATGAGGTTTTTGTTTTCGTGATATCATTATCGGGCAATTTGTTTTCATGCCGAGCCGATTTATGTTTTTAATTGATGTCTTGCGGACGTTTGGACTCCAATTTCGTAAAAGAAAAAGACATTGCGTTAGAACCATATTTTTTTTTTTACGAGGGGTACCAAATATCTTTTCTTTTCATTGAAGTGCGCAGTATAACTCGCTTAATGCATGGACGGACGAATGCAACATTCATGGCTGTGATTACAGCTTTGTTCAATTCGGCTAAAACGTTTTCAAAGTGTTTTACCGATACGTGTACATCAGATTTGAAGAACCTTGTTCTTTTAGGGTTGAGCTAAAAGAGTAGACTATTTTCCTGTAAATTTATCTGACAACAGTGTTTACCCCGGGTATGTGTTCCCGGGAGAAGTCAAGGCACTGCTGGAGACGCGTCTGGTTCGGGATGTAGGTCCGCGTCTCTACCGTCACATGATCACCTCCGACGTCCACGCCAATCTTGACGCCTGAATTGCCGTGTATGGGCATGCCGTAGAAGTCGCCATTATCCGTGTGATAGATCCAAATGGGGTATCTGCAGTATTATGACAAAGTCGACAGGGGAAGGCGCGATTTTACAGTTTCGGGAATAAAAAGTGTGGATACGGTTTTTGTATATTCGGGATTTACAACATGTAGGGTCTAGTAAAAATGGGCGGAACTAGTCATGCACATTAAATGTAGTACCCTATTGTACATTGCACATTTCCAAGCTATTCGTAGCCAGCAATGTGACCTGAGTAAGAAGGCTGGTATCAAAGGTCATCGACAAGGGTAAAGCCGCATTGTACGGCCCCCTATGATGCTTGTTAAAATTACCATAATTTTTATGTAGTTATTTCTTTGGGCACACTTTGGGGATATTCAATAATCAGCTAGATTTTCCGAGCCGCACATGTTCCGAACTCACATCATTTCTAATGGTCTCTCCCGCTTTAATTCTCACTGTCACCGTTAATGTAACCCGTTGAGAGGTATAGCCTACTCGTGCACACAGTTCCCCTACCTGCTCTTAGTAAACTCGCTGATGTTTGGTGTGGCGAGGTAGAGTACCTGCTCCTGGGTGACCGTGAGTGGAAGCTGAACACCGACCGACGACAACACGCCCTTCAGCCAAGCCCCGGCCGTGATGATTAAACGCCTACATCGGAAGGTGCCTCGGTTGGTAAATACCTACCCAAAAAGTCATCACAGTAAACTCTTGAAAACAACTAAAATCAAAATCTGGAATAGAAGTTCTGAAGGAACCCTTAGCAAGAACAAAGTGCATTTTCCAACAGTTTTCGGCAATTCTTCAGCAAGTAACAAAGAAGATTTGCCTCTTGTGTTCTTCTTTTGCACGAGCAAGTCGACAGTATACAAATTGGCCTGTGTGTCATGAACAGATATTACAGTTTACGCATTGTAAGCGGATAACATTTACGTATAGGCCTACCCGGTAGGATCCATCTTTGGTTTTCTCGAACCGTTCGACTTTGGTCTCCTCGAGTATGGTGGCTCCGTGTTTGCGAGCTAGCTGCGTGTGCACGGCGTTAGCCAGCGCCGCGTCCACCAGCCCGCTGTCTTTCTGATAGACGGCCCGGTAGTTGTCGCTGGCGCTGAACTGCGGGAAGCGCTCGTGGAGTCGCAAACCGTCCAGATTTTCGAACCTCCAGGGTTCATTGGGCAAAATAGAAAGGAGGAATCATTGACGAACGAGTGTTTATTGGTCAATGTCTTGTGTATAGCTATACTTGTGATATCGACATAATATCGTTATTATCCAGTGTTGTAGGACTCGAGTCCAGGACTCGGACTCGAGTCGGACTCGAGTCACATTTTCGTGACTCGGACTAGACTCGAGTCACATTGGAAAATGACTCGGACTCGACCATGATGACTCGGACTCTTACTTAATTATCGTCGTCTTTACTTACTCGATGTCATTCTCTTGCATGGACTCGGCATAGCGATCCACTATCTTCTCCGCCAGGCCTCCCCGTCGACTGAAGTTGATGCCGCCAGTCTTGTAGACCAACTGCAGTCCAGATTCCTTTTCAACCTCGTCCCAACAGGCGTATGCCCCCGCTGCTAGCTTGGTGTACAGCGGGTCACTGTACGACAGACGGCTGCGATCGTAATACCAAAAAAATATAACAAGTTACTATTTGCACGAGATTACACTCGGAATGTCTCACAAGGCATACCTAGCATGGCGCCCCCCCCCCACCCCTTGCAGAAAAATATCCAACAACTTTAACTTTTCAAGTCTTCAAGTAAAGAAAAATCATTTTGATCATTAATGCACCCTTGAGAGCTGATGAGAGTTGCCAGCGCTCAGTCAAGTTCAACCAAGCCGTGCAATGTGCCCGTAACTTAAGAACAAGGCAATTAATGCTGCTTAAAGGCATACAGGATCATTTGCAATATCCCAAAAGTAAGCTATCGAATTATTACCAAAAAGCTTACTTGGATAAAAAAAAATCGTACTGATACTAACCCCCCCCCCCTTGAAATTATTCCGTTCGGCTTGCTGTCACTCTTATAAAGAAGAAATCAAGAAAAGTCGGTGATTGTCAATGATCAGTCAACGGAAATAAAGAGTTCTTTATATGCCTACACGAAATCGAACATCCACTGAGCTGAAACTTCAACAACATTCTTTTTTGGATGTTGAGTGGAGGTGTTATTGAAAAAACGAATAAAAGGCACGAAAGGTAATGATCATATAATGCTTTTATGCTGACAGTACCTCACAATGGTGCACAATTCAACAGAAACCATCAACTCCATATTTTTTTCTTTTGCTAGCTTACTGTAAAAAGTCAAGGTAAATCAACGTACGCAACTCTTAGGTTGTTAGGCATTGTTTTAGAAATGTCCTGCCAACCAAAATCTTTCTTTCACATATCCGAATAGGGCCGGTTTGCACCAGCACTGCTTGAGAATCTCAACATTTTTCAATAAAAAAATTTGTTAAAATATTTTATTGTAAGTGTCTCATAAATATGGTCATGGCCTTTGACCCCGACTCATTCAGATCTCTTACATGATTCGTGAATGGTCCTGTGAACCGCCGTGGTCGTGACCCAACTTGAACTGCTCCAGACCTAGTACGTCTTTCAGACAAAAACAAAAACAAAAACGTATTGTACACGTGCTAGGCAGTGCTAGTGTATATACATGTTGTACACAGAGCCCGGGAGCTCTTATCTCTATAGTGTCCAAGGTCATCTGGCTGTGCGCTTTGGCCGGTTAACATGGGGTCCAGGCTAAATTTTGACCACAAAGGATTGGCGGCGGCACGCAATTCGCAAGCGCAGCTCCGCTCAAACAAGCTAGGCCATCGTGGTTCCACATCAATGACAAACATCAATTCGACCAACCCAACTTATTGTTGAGCTTTTGTTGTACCTTTCAGCATAGAGCAAGGAACAAACCTTGCTCTATGCTTTCAGTTAACGATAATGCCCTACATAATAGCTTGGGTCACGAAGGAAATAAATATTATTACCGAGGGATCGGTGCTATAGTGGTACACCACATTCGTTCCTGTGGGCTTTATACCCTTTAATATGATACATGCAGTCCTAGAATTGCAAAAGATAGAAAATAAGAAAGTAATTTTGGCGGCCTCGAACAGACTTTGACTTTTTACCCCCCCCGGAAAAAGTGATTTTATTTTCCAGACTATCCTAAGCATGCTAAGGCTAAACGACTTCTCACTACAACCAGGTCCCCCTCCCCCCCCCCAAAAAAAAAACCACACAGAACAACCCAACGTTGTGCAAGAAAATCGTATCGTCGTACGACTACAAGAATAGTTTACTAGGCCCTTCAAGGCCACCGTAGGGCCTACTTTGTGAATTCAAGCAGGAAATAATAATTTACAACTTACTTTGGCCAGCTCGCTTAGCCAGCCAGTACACGGCACTGCTGCCGATACCCCCGCAACCGACCACGACGTATTCATACCACCTATCCGCACCAGACATTGTTCCAGCTGGGAGTCAGCCCTAGGTCTACACGCCTTTTCAGTTGATCCAGGGACAACTGATCAAAGCTCCAGCTAGCTGTCGTCCCAGCCAGAGTTGAGCACTGTGCACCTTGCACGGTTTACACAAACCGTGCTGCTAATGCATATGCTGTTTGCAAGTTCAGTCAGGGACTTTGGATTCGTGATTAGGACCTTTGTGTTACTATCTTTATAAAGCCGCGTTTACCTTGGAACACGTAGATACGAACCGTATAAACATAGGCTGGCCCAGCCATACTTTTAGCCACTTTTTTTGGCTTATGGGGGCAAATGGCACAAGAGCTGGAATATGTAACCGTCTTTCATTAACAGCGCCCTCTAGAACTAATTCGTACGGCCTTGATTATCTACACGAGTAAACTCGCTTCATCAACATGTGGTGTTGAAAATTGTCTCATGTTTCCATGATGTGAGAAATAAAAACTGTAGAAAGCAAAAACATACAAAGTTAACTTAGCTTTAAGGAACTTACCACAACTGTGTCGGTGTAACGTATGTGCCGGAAAGAGGGAAAACAATAAATTTGATAATTATTTTGTTGTGGTGTCTAGAGAGACTTTTACAAGTTTACTATTGACCGAGGCGGTATTTTTTTTCTCAGCTAAAACACGTGCGTTGCATCTGTACTATATTAAACGTGCCACACGCCCTCATCTATGTACTGCATAGTTCTACCATTATAGCTCCATGGTTCTACATCATACATTGTTTAAACTGCCAATGAGAAAAATTCATGACAATTTCAGCTTACTGGAATATTTCCTATGTTATATAGCCGAAATGGTGACAAAAAGGAGATCGATCTTCTACTGATCACAGCATTATCTCGTCCAACTGCGTCGCTGACACTAGTGACAGAGGTCGGACACCGAACCCGTTCATCAGCCGTCTACGCGCCGGGTGGCTATGCTTCCCTGCACGCTCGTGGACATAATGTATGGACTCCGTGCATGGGTCGATGATCGGGGCTGATTTCGACTGTAACCATGGAGGAAGGAATGGAGGCTCTATCTAGGAATGGAATACGTAACTAACTGTATAGCTGTTATTCTGGAGGTATGTGTCACTTGTCTCTCCCTGACCTTGCTTAGAGATCGTGTAGTGTAGGGCCCGGTTCCTATAATATAACAAGGGAACACAATCCACTTATTAGACCGACCAAACTAGTTGGTGACATTCTCAATTAACAGGTGTGTCATAGATAGAGGGCAGGGTTTTGATTTTTTTAGGGAAATTTGGGGGTAAAATGACGACGACAGCTTGGCGACAACACGCAACCTAAAAATAAAGATGGCGAAACACCGCGCGAGCACACACGGCGCGCTGAATCGCAAGGCACAAACCGCGCAGGAAAATTGTGATTTCTACCCCAACTTAGAAACGGTTCAAAATTGCAACACTGGTGTCATTAGAATCTAGAAAAGTCTGCTTTAAAGGTGATTTTTGAGCAATAACAAACACTTTTGACTCTAATTTGATCAAAACAAAACAGGGGCCCTACTCTACACGATCGCCCCTTGCTTTTAATATCGTGTGCAATCAATTATGATTTACTGTGATCTACGTGTACTTTAGTTTGTGACTAGTCCTATGTTAGAGAACTTAGACCTGTAAATGTGCCGGCAGTAACAACACCACGTGCCACAGTCGCATAAAAACACTCAATCTACCTCCACCTTGACAAACGCCATTACGCAGCATTTTATTTCACCTACATGTTAAGTACTTACTTATGAAGCTTCCTGTGAATCTACGCAAGCCTAGGATATCTGGCATTCCCAAGAAATTTGACTTGAGAAAAAAAATGGACCTCGAGGCAACAAACGTGTCAACAAACTTTTGATTCATCGCCTATACTGGGATTTTCGGTCACCATGCACAGGACAGATTCACAGAAAGTTTCATTGTAAGTACATGTACTTAACATGCAGGTGAAATGAAATGTCGCGTAATTGCATTTGACAAGGCGGACGTACATCAAGTGTTTTTACGCGACTGTGGCACGTGGCACATGTAGTTCTTGAATAAATTTTTTGCCGACCTTGGAGGATTTTTCTTCTGATTCATTGTAGTTTTGAATGAAGCGAAAGGCAGAATCAGTGTACAACACACCTGTTCAGTACACCCGTATGCTTTCTCTGGGTTCCTTGGTCGGACAGAAGGAGGGTTTGGGCTTCCCCAACAATCCCGGGACATACCGTTATTTCGTTTTACCGTTTTGCATTTCCTCAAAACAAAAACAGTAAACAAACCATTGACCGTTTTGTCGTTTTACAGTTTTGTAAAACGGTCAAACGGTATTAAGATAAATACGGTTTCTCTGTTTTATAAGTTTAATAAAATTCATTACAGCATAACGATCAATGATTTTTGTTTTACAGTTTTACACAAATAACTTTGAAAAACAGCAAAACGGTCAGTATTGAATACAGATTTTTTTTTTTTTATGTCAGTGTCATATAGTGAGCAGTCCGTGGTGCATTTTGTGGTGCTGGGCAAGGGGGATGGAGGGGGAACATGCTTTACATGAAAAAGTGTTACCTCGGCATAATGCGTGGTGTGATTCCTGGCGTGACCCTGACCCCCTTCTCACGCGAGGCAGTTGGTGGGGCTTAAGAGTTGCAAGCAAAAATGGCGCTGGAAAACTTCAAGGGAGGACATTACTTTTTACAATGGATACAGGATGGTAATACGTTTGAAGAAGTTGCAGATATTTGAAGGAAATTGGAGTTCGGCGCGGCTCTTCAACAGCCAGTTCGAAAACTATGTCGTGAGAACGAAATGTGAGGAGGGTAATTCGGGTTCCAGGCAATGACTCGATCCCATGAGGACGCATTAACATTCCTAGGTGCATTGCTTAATTGCCTAACCTAAATCAAAAAATGGTCGACAGGACTATTGACCGTTTTTCATTGTCATGTTCTTGTAAAACAACACTCTGAAATGAAGCAACTAACCGTTTATCGCTTTCAACAATCAAGAAAAACAACAAAAAGGTCATTGTTTTTTGTGACCTAATACCGTTTGACCGTTTTACAAAACTGTTAAACGAAAAAAACGGTCGACGGTGCGTTTACTGTTTTTGTTTTTGAGGAAATTCAAAACGGTAAAACGAAATAACGGTATGTCCCGGGATTCCCAACCACTCATTCACAAATCTGCCCTATTGACTGATCATTTGAATAACATTCATGAAAGATTGTCTGGTTTCGGAAAGATGGGAAAAACATGACGGCAGAATTCTGCATTTTTTATCTGATTTGTTTATCTTTGAAAATCAAAGCCAATCCCCTCAAAATTGAAATGTGGACAAATTAAAAAATTATGCAATCATTGTATACATTGTTTTTGAACTGATTGTGCTGTAAACATTTTAATGAAATTGTGGGCACTTGAACACATTGAATGCACACTATTTGTTTTGTGCTCGCTCAAATGTGTACCTCGTACAGGCCGTAGTAGGTATGAGTACAAGATGACTCAAACAATATTACCCTGAAGTCTACTCAAGGATCACTAAAACCTATATGTATCATTGCCCATTTCCCAAAACAACAAAAACGATCATATGATTCAATTTCAATGGAATGAGTTATTATGCAAGCTTTTCGCTGTGTCATGTCGAGAAACAGCCTCTCATCTGCAGTGGAGCCATCGCGATTAGACACGCCACAACATACACACAGAGTGCGGCAGCTGGACGCACACATGTCCTGCGTCAGAAGCCGAGGTGCAGAAAAAAATCACCGATCCAGCTGCACCGTGCACTCATGCTTTTTACGACCATGACATGAGATGTTGGAATGTTGGGTCCCTTGCAATCGTCGGCGAGTGATCTGTGCAACAGGGAGCGCGTGATTCACCCAAACGGCTGGTGCGTTGTGTCACCGTTTATCCCCTGCATTTGCGCACCGCTGTTGATAGCATCCCGGGCTATGAATTTCTTGAGGGGCAAGTGACTTAGCTTCATTGATTGACAGGTGGAAAGTTCTTGGTGGTCATCATCTGAACAGATTGAACACAGGTTGTATGCGTCATGGCGTGACTGGGTCATCATAATAATACGCCGTATGAGTGGAAAGGTTCTCGCTGGTTGTGGAAACAGTTTGTCCAGGACCAGTGTGGGTAGGAAGCCTATTTTGCAGGTCAGCTGAGCCTGTGATGGATACACCGCATGCTCCTCTTTGATCCTGCACTGCGCCAGAGTGACATGGCGCTGTATGCCTGGATCATATAAGCACACATGTTGAATGCATCATGAGAACAGGTTGAGTGTACTTTGAGAGGGGGAAGCTTGTCTGTATAGCTGAGGAGTGCCTTCCGAATACCCACATGGTGAGCATCATACATTGGGATGTAGGGCCTTCCCCTACCCCAGCCCCCCCGCATGCAAATTTAATTTTTGTGTCCCTGTACATGTACGTTCTTGTCAAAACATTTCAATTTCTACAGTGCTCATAATCTGTTGTGACCTTACCCCTCCCAGTAGACTGGGATCACCTGAAGAATCCCCCTAGCTAGCAGACAACATATGGACGAAAGTCAAAACTTTAAATTTTGGAGTCTTCAAACATTCTACCTGCTACTTTCTACAGTCTTTTGCTCACCTCCGTTCTTAATGAATACAGATTCCTGATCTTGTTATTGTTCCAATGTACATATCCCTGAAACAGTTGAGCATTAGTTTTTGCTAATTTCCAGTTTTTGCGTTGAGCAGAGACAAAGTGCTCAGACAAAGTTTGTGTGCTCGTAATAAAAGTGATACTACAAGGAACATGGTGCTTGTTCCCTTGGGCAAGACACTTAACTACAATTGCGTCTCTCTACCCAGGAGTATGAATGGGTACCTGTGAGGGTAGAGGACCGAATGTGCGCTGATATCGGCTGCCGCTTGGTCTCATGGCCTGATGAACGGGGGAATAATTGCTTTGAGATTGTTGATGTGATGGGAATCACTATATCATTACAGACTTTTATTTATTTAATATATGGTAATAATGGAGATAAGGCCAAAAAAAAAAAATATTCGGTCTCTGGTCAGACCAAAGTTCAGGAATTGACGCGGCCACACGGCCTTTTTTTTTTTTTTTTTTTGCTTTTTTTTTTTTTTCTTCAAGCTTGGATTGTACAGACAAGGTGGGTACTATTTTGCTTTTTTGGTGTCCTCATGTACATTGGTGTCCTCCATAATTTGCCTTGGTGCTTTCGATCATTTACCTTGGTGCAATAAATTTCCCATTCCTTGGTGCTCTTTGGTAAAAAAAAATGAGGAGGTGCGGATATAGAGGGCGCTGTTGGAGCTACCGCGGAACAGTTTGGGGAAAAAAAAGATCGACGCGCATGATTAAAATCGACGCGCGCGCTGACCAGAGACCGACTTATTTTTTTTTTGGCCTAAGACCAGCTTTTACTTTTTCAGTGAATAATGTCTGTGTGCTGAACATATTTTTGTGCATAACACTTGACAGCTCCCGATGTTGGACACTGAATTTAAAAAAAAGGCGAAGTTTGTAGTTAAGAGGTTTGGACATCTGCACCGAAAAAGTCAACTTTTGCTCATTCTGTTGAAAAAAAAACACAAAAACTGTGACTATTGTTTCGGAAGGCATTGGAGGCATTGTCTTAGTCATCCAAGGTGTAGGATGTGCTTGACTTAATTGTTAGACAATGAGGGATTAATGCATTACTTCCGAGGAAACTTCATTAGTACGCGTACAGCACAATGCAGGGCCTGACCACGAAGGCTGATTACTTCATGTGTCATAGTCATTCCGGCTTATTGTAATTATTTTTTTTCCATCTGTACCATCCAGAAATTATGTCCTCAGTATATAGACCATTATCATGTTGCGGCTATCTTGATTTTTTTCCCATTCAAAACAACGTAACCAAAACGAGGCTGGAAGGAAAAATAGTCTGGTTCCGTTTTGCACAAAAAACATTTTCATTCAGTACTGTTATTGGCACAGGGAACATGACTGAAATGGTGGCGGCATGATAAAGGTTTATGGAGTTTAATTGTGAGCTTTTAAAAATCTTCTGATTGCAATTCTCTGGTTGCGCCATGGTTGCAATTCTCTGGTTGCACCTTATTTCATCATTACGGGAATTGGACAAAACATAATCTTACCTAATTAGTAATTATTTCATTTAAAGCATCCAGCAGGTGTGTTTCGTTCAATGTCTTATTCAAAGTGGAACACTTTTGAATTGCTAAAAACAAGCAATTTAAAAAAAGAACAAGACATTTTGGGACGAAACCCACAAAACGTCACTGACACAGTACATCTTTAGAAACCAACTTGTTTGAAAACTTCTTCTTCCTGATATAGTTTGCTGTGAATTTTCTTGCAAGCACTCAGGCCCTTTGAAGTGTAATTATGCAGTTTGACACACCGCTAATTACTAATTTCATTAAGTACATGTATGTATTTTTGGTTTGCTGTTGCAGTATTTGCCAGGAATACATTTACTGGGTGACACCCAGTGGTTTTGTCCATTAACCCTTACCCTACTAGACCCTCCAACGCATGCCAATATGTGCCTCAAGAAAATCTCCTATGTTTTTTGCATGGCCCTCCAATATCTGCCATGTCATTTCAAGGGTAACTGGACAGGCACTCCAATACATGCCACAGAGAACAATGAGAGTCCTCTGATAACAAAGTGAGTGCCCCCAGCTGGTCAGTATCAGGCACCCTCCAGGGCCTCCAACTCCTGCCAATTGGAGCCTTCACTGTTAAAACAAACTATCTGCCAATAAACTGCAGCTGGAGGGCATTGGCATAACCAACTGACATGCAGTAAACTACCCTCAGAGAGTAAGGGTTAATTCCTGAATGTTTGATCTTCCGTCCCACCTGGAAAGTTCATTTGCCCCAAAAAAAAAAAAATTGAACCCGTGACAAGGGCATCAAAAGTAATCCTGCATGTCAGGCACAAACTTACAAACGGGCACAGCGCATGATGCACTGAAAACTTTGTTGTTCAAGGTTTGTTTCTGTATGTGACTCCAGACTGTTTGGCTTTTATTCATCAGTTACTGACATGCACAAAGCTCTGACTTGTCAATAGATTTTTATTCAAATTCACTGTTCTCCGATTGTTAACATCGCTGCAAATTGTCTACCTTAAGTTAAATGATCTGTTTTTTAAATCCATTTGCCACCAGGTAAAAGTTGACGAGGATCACACAAGTCAGTTTTATGTCTTCTGTCCCTATCCGTGAGCCCCTGAAGTCGAGATGGCCACTCGTCACATCGTCGTGTGTTGTGGGGTTGTTCTGGTTCTTTGTGCCACCCTGCAAGTGACCAGTGAAGTACTGCAGCAAAGTAGCCGATGCCTACAAAATGTACCAGGTAAGAAATAGCTACGGGTTGTTTTGAAGCCAGACTGGGGGAAAATTTGATTTGAAGAGATAATTGGCTTTATTGGATACTGAGGTTCATGCATGTAACAGTGCCTATTTTCCAATTTTTTTGCAAATGTATCGCAGTTTGGAAAGAAATTCTTCATTTCAAACCTTAAAGGGAATATACAACATTTGCAAACATCGAAAAACAAAACTACCAATTTTTTACAAAATACCTGACTAGGATGTTGGTCAATGACAGTCTAAAGCATCCTGTAAAATTATGGCACCAGGTGTGAAGTCATTTTCAAGAAAAGTGGTGTTTTGTATAAATTTCCGACCACCGTTGGAAAAACGTAACTATTTTTTCAACTACTGCTCCTAATTTACCATTTTTTTCAGTCCAAATTTTGTTTGCTATTGGTAACATGTTCATGAACGGGTGCAGGCCAGCTAGACTGGTTCCATTACCTTACAATTTGCCGGCATCTATAGATTGATCCATTTCATCTTTAGTGGAGTCGGGGAACCAGACTACTTGAACATTTTTGTTTTTCTTGGTTTTTCCAGCATTTTCGAACACAAAACTTCAAACATGTCAGTGTAACAATAGGCCTATTTGATCTGTTATACTAACCTAAAATAGGGGAATTCCACACTAGATAAATTGGGCCAATTAGATAAGTGGATGTTGCATATAGGGTAAAAGATGAGGTACCGGACTACGGGTAGTGATTTCTTAGGTTTTTTCCTATACCTTGCTAAGTTGAAAGTGACTAGGACAAGAAAATACAAGAGATGATATCTTTTTTTATTTGAGAAAATAACAGGTGTTGTACACGTGTACGTTACATTATTATTTATTGGCTTTTATTTGAAAATATAAACCTAAACTCCAAGGCTGAGAAATAACACAGGAAAAGTTATGAAACTAAAATTGTTTGTAAAATTGCTTTCTTAAAAAAAAATAATAATAATTGTTAGTTGAAATGACAAATAAAAGGAAAATGAGGTCATTTCTACATCTCACATATTTGGAGAATACACATTTTTCACAGACACACTGCAAGGAACAATTCAGTTTCTAATACTTAATAGGCACATTCATTTGACATTATCAACCCATTTACATTGCTATCAAGCAAAAATATAACAGTTTTTGCAATGGCTTCAAAGTTATCATGTGATTAGGATTATGTACGAACAGGGACAGATATTTTGTGACAAATGTTGAAGTCTGTTCGTACTGGTATGTGTAAATCCTGATTATACAATATCCAATAATTCTTCACATTGACTCTGAGTTTTCTAGGTTTTGACTGATGACATTCCTCCAGGTTACATCTTTAATCAGACAACATTAGGAGATCATTTACATGTATCTACATTTTTTTATGTCTGCCCTTCGTTACGTACATAACACTTTTTAAAACAATAGGCTCTATCCACTGTATTTTCTAAAATACAAAACGAGTTATTTCCTTTGCAGACCATGAGGATATTTGTTCAAAGCTTGCAATGTTTACAGCAAAAATTGAGAGACCAAGATCCTATTTTTATCATCAAAACTCAAAAGGTCTTCTCAAAGTCACACTTTTGGGCCCATTAGTGTGGAATTGCCCATTTGCTTATTTTCATTTCTAATTTGTTGAGGAATAATAGTTGACATTTGGCAGCTCTAAATCAAACACTACATGTAAGTGCTTATCATAAGTGGCCCCACAAGGGCTGAAGTACCTGACAACAGGTACAGCTAGTGATTAGATAAAATAACCTTTGTGACTTCGAGGAAAGATATCAGAAATGAGCATCATGTGTATCGGAAAGATCAAAACCTGTCTGCAAAGCTGTTGAAATCTACCGATTGCTGTGTAAACATTGACGTTGTTTGTGTGTTTGGACACCCAATTCTGATTTTGATGATGTCCACAAATAAGATTTGGCTTTTGGCTTTTGGTTTTGAATGCTTTCTAATGCTAATGACATCTATTATGATGACCCAAAATGTCTCACTGTTTACGTAGGCTACACACATTTTGATAAGTCTTGGGAGGTCTCTTGTACAAACAAAATGTAGATAAGTGTTGTGGTAGCTGTTAATGACAATCAACAATGTCTAGGAAAAGACATTAAGCAATTGAAAAGCAACTATTGTTCCCATGATTTCAATGTAAGCATTTTAAAAAACTTTTACTGTGAATAAAGTTTCAGTAATTGATTGTTCTTACCCAAATATGCCCGGATTTGTGAAAATCAGGAGTAATTAGACTTGAACTGTGTTGAGTGATTCATTCTTTATATTAAAAAAGTTGACAAGTGTGACTTTTTTAAAATTAAAATATTGCATTCATCATTTGGTCTAAAATGTGTTTACAAATGAAATTTTTTTTTTAAGGTTCTTATCTTTATTTCAAATGAATGCTATACACATTTGTAAATCTAACTAGATTTGTTCTTGTTGTGGCAAAACAAACAGTACCTCCAATGTTTGAACCGGCACATTATTTGCCCCCTTCTTTTGGGCCCCAGGGGCCACATGCAGCAGGGGGTCCCCGGCAGACGTCCATATCTGAATATGTTACGTTACACAATAAATGTTTCTGTGCTCGGATATTGGTACCTTGTTCGTTTGATCAAAATGCTCTGGGCTGCCGTACTAGTAGGGCTTGAAGTTTATTTTCCTAAAAGAAATGGTAAGGCCGCAGGTCTAAAAGCTATCAAATTTCCCAAAATTAAACAGTATACACCTCCATGGCCCATTTTACACCAGCGGATCTAGGAATTTTCCAAAGGGGACAGTTCTCCGTTTAGGGGCGTCAGACCCAAGAGCATGTTGACAGGATTTTTTCCGGGACAGCCTGCCCTCTGCAAAATCGAAGGTTGGGGGGGGGGGGGAGGCTGGGGGGGGGGGGGGGGAGGCTGGGGGGGGGGGGCTCTTGCTACAGGGGATGCTGTTCAAGGCAAACTACATAAGTATCATGGACAGTATCTAACAATAGGTAGCGCTTTTCGACCAGACGGCGTCCGTGCATGTTGAGCGCAGTACCGTACCAACACTCGACCGTTGCACTCACTGCGAACAGTGTTTCTTCTTTTATTGGAGTTGGTCAAAAATGTGTTTTGGATTTTGTTTTATCACAGTCTGTTTGTGTCACTGAAGTCGGCACATTTGGAATGCCACACCTTGGACTTGCAGATAATCCTTCAAGTCTGTCTTACTCTTGACAAATTACCTGCTTCCTAATTTCATTAGGAGGGGGATCAGTGAGATAAGTGGATTGGTGAGTCTCCCTGCTGGCTTTTGTCCTTCTCGCTTTGGTCTGAAGACGGGATGACTGTTGATGTGAAAAGCATAGATCTTGTCCACAATTATCCTTGACAAAGTTTTTTTATTTCTCATTTTAACTGGGTAGCATTCAATAGAATCCACTGGTCTCCCATGGGCCCCTTTAAAGAGGAGACAATGTGAAGAAGTTACAGTTTTAGATGTGGGAGGAAAACCCCAGAAGACCATTTTCAGGAAAACCCACGGAATCAGGTAGGGACTGAAAACCCTGCATCCACGTATTGGCCCAAGCAGGAATCGAACCCGGGTCACAGCGGTACGTGGAAGGCGAGGAAAGTACCGCTACGCCAACCTGACTCCCCTTATGTTGTGACGATCGGATGTATGCACAATGACTCTTAACATGCTTAAAGTCTTATTTGCAATGTAAGTTTGTATACGACTAAGAATACATTTTTTTTGTACATCTTATGTCTTAATAATGTACGTAAATCATTGCTGACGCTTGGCAAACTTTAAAAAGAATTCTAGCAACACAGTTTCTCTTTTTTTATTGTATACCTATTGAGTTATTTTATCAGAGGTTTATTAAAACAATTTGTGCAGACTGAAATATTGAGCCAAATGTATGCATTGGAAATTGTCACATATTCTCACAAAACCCGTGTAATTGGCACACAACATGTCCTTCCAATTCATCGTGGTAACTTACAAAATGTATAGGACTAACATGCAGCGCTCGAGACCCTCAAAATATTTATAGAAAATATATACTGTATCAAATTGAATTTGACAATTGCTGGCTGCCAATCCTAGGCAAAGAATGCCTACGGCCTAGCTTCAGCTGGCACAACCTAGCTCCATGATCAGACAGTGCATAGTGAGTTGCTTCAATCCAAATCGACGCCCTACAGCTGAGTGAAAGCTTCACCTTGGCACATTTGCACTAATTCCTCAGCAATTTTTACCACAGCTCGGCCAACAAAAATAGTCAGCTGCCAACCACTTTTCAAGCAACACTGTTCCGCAGCACACGTGTTTTATAGATACAGATGCAGTAGGTTATTGCCACTTGGACCCCAGCCAAGTTTGTAGCCACTTAGATTTCATGGCCAAATAGTTGGGAAATCCCCACGGAAATGGGTAATTTCTGGCCTGGTTGAGTAACGATTGAGGGTTTAAGCCAGAATATGCGGCTTAGGCCACCGGTACGTGTACAATACGGTGTTCTTAATTCTCCGGTATTGAGTTATTAAAAGGTCTGGTGGTAGAATGGTAATAGCTGAGACTGGAGAAAAACTTCATTTTTTTCAGACACTTTTTCTCTCCCCCTTCTTTTGTTATCACCTCCGCCAAGGAGGCTATGTTTTCATTGGCGTTTTTGTTGGTTGGTTGGTTTGTCCGTTAACAAGATAACTCAAAAAGTTATGGACAGATTTGCATGACATTTTTTTTAGGGGTGGTCCTTGATACAAGTACAAATCGATAAAATTTTGGAATTGATCGGGATCTGGGTCTGGAAATCCAGGATTTTTTTAACGGCTTTTTTCACCATTTATGCGAGTATTTCTTTTGGGTGCTCTGACAATATCCATGGCGGTGAATTGTTTAGCCTTGGCCGATGTTTGCACTCTCTGAGTGCTTTCTACAAATTAATGTATTTATAAACAAATAGTCATGAAAAGAGGATGTTGGTTAATACATGTATAATGAGTATTTGG